GTTGGGAGATGGGAGCAAGTTGTAGAAAGTCAACCATCACTGCAGCCTTCCACCAGTCGGGGCTTTATGGCAGAGTGGCCCGACGGGAGCCTCTCCTCAGTGCAAGACACATGAAAGCCCGCATGGAGTTTGCTAAAAAAACACCTGAAGGACTCCACGATGGTGAGAAATAAGATTCTCTGGTCTGATGAGACCAAGATAGAACTTTTTGGCCTTAATTAAACTTTTTGGCCACACATACCGCTTGTATGTGTGGAGAAAACCAGGCACTGTTCATCACCTGTCCAATACAGTCCCAGCAGTGAAGCATGGTGGTGGCAGCATACTGCTAATGGGGTGTTTTTCAGCTGCAGGGAAAGGACGGCTGGTTGCAATCGAGTGAAGGATGAATGCGGCCAAGTACAGGGATATCCTGGACGAAAACCTTCTCCAGAGTGCTCAGGACCTCAGACTGGGCCGAAGGTTCACCTTCCAACAAGACAATGACCCTAAGCACACAGCTAAAATAACGGAGGAGTGGCTTCACAACAACTCCGTGACTGTTCTTGAATGGCCCAGCCAGAGCCCTGACTTAAACCCAATTGAGCATCTCTGGAGAGACCTGAAAATGGCTGTCCACCAACGTTTACCATCCAACCTGACAGAACTGGAGAGGATCTGCAAGGAGGAATGGCAGAGGATCCCCAAATGCAGGTGTGAAAAACTTGTTGCATCATTCCCAAAAAGACTCATGGCTGTATTAGCTCAAAAGGGTGCTTCTACTAAATACTGAGCAAAGGGTCTGAATACTTATGACCATGTGATATTTCAGTTTTTCTTTTTGAATAAATCTGCAAAAATGTCAAATTCTGTTTTTCTGTCAATATGGGGTGCTGTGTGTACATTGAGGAAAAAATGAACTTAAATGATTTTAGCATATGGCTGCAATATAACAAAGAGTGGAAAAATTTAAGGGGTCTGAATACTTTCCGTACCCACTGTATACAAGGTTGAAGATGTCATTTGTCTAGAAGCAGACATCCTGTATTCCTAATATTGCTTGCTTGTTTTTAGTAACAGAAATATCTGATCTTTGATATTCACTAAAATTGCACCACATTTTCATTTTAACAAATAGGTTAACTAAAGTCTAATGAAAATCAATGAATGCCAAAACTGCATTTGGTCCGCATATGAATCATAACCTGTTTAAAAAAAAAAAAAAAAAAAACAATATTGTTGAAACACAGAACATGTATTTTTGCTACATAAGTCTACTCAACTTCTAACAAATCAGAAGCATTAACATTTCAAAACTGTAGTGTTGCAGTGATAATAAATTCCGTTAACTATCTCATGAACAACATTACAAAAACGGATTCACCCATCAGACATTGTCACATGCCAGGTAAGGGACTGAAGCTAATTTATCACTTCAGGAGACTGACCGGAGTAACTGCATAAATATCACATTCGGCAGGATTTTTTTTTTTTACTTTAGTTGATATAATGTAATTGGTATATTTTCCGTACATGATTATAGTGATAATGTTCTTAGACTATGTTATTATGGTATATTGGGGGCAATTCATTCATTTTCATTCATCTCCAATCCCCATGAATGTAAACAAAATGCATGGCACACAGACTATTTCTTGCTTCTTTTAAAATGATACACTTCACGTTAATATGGGAAAAAAGAAAGGCTAAAAAGTTTGCAATGCAAAACAAACCACTTTCCAGTTCCAGTCATTCTGCACAAATGACCGGAGTGCTACACAAACACAACCCCAGCCACATGCGGCAGTTATCGACTATAACAAATGCCTCTCACAGAATCAATGAATGACCATTCAGAGGGGTGTTTAGAAATCCAACTTCATCGAATTTGTTCCATGACAGGGAAGAAACAATTAATATAAACATTAATGAATATATTTTAGATTTTAAACATTTTAATGTGACAGTCTGTTTATTTATCTATGTGTTATGGACCGCATAAGCGTACCACATTTAACACCCTCTACCCTTTACATAGTATTGAAAATGGTTCAGCCCTTGAGGTTACCGGAAGTTGTTTCAGCTGCCATGTTTGGTTGCTTTGTTGTAGGCTTCTAGGTTTCCTACAGAATTAGTAAGTGTGGAAATGGAGCCGAGCTGGAGTGCGTTTCTTTTTCAAGTAAGTTGACTCTTTAGGAGGGAAACTTGGATACCTCGTAAAACAACCTTTAAAAATGTAAGCACTGAATATGTTAGCGGTAAAACCAGTTTTCAACGAGTAATGCCAAGATCAAGTAACGAAGCAAAACAATGGTATATGAATCCAGGCTTCCAGCTGTGAGGCTTGGGAATGACGCTAGAACAAAAAAATCAGTTCTTCTTAACGAGTGTTTATAGAATGTGGCTCTTTAGAAATATTGCACAGATATTTATATTGTAGTTGTAAAATATCTCGTCAGCGTTTGCGATTTTTTAAAAGTTTGTTTGCCAAGTCAAAGCCAGCAAAACATGCGGGATCATTTGAAGTAAAGCTGGAGACGCCACTGCACCGTTACATTCGATACAGACCTGTTTTCCCCCTTTGACTGAAGGCTTAGATCGGACGCAGTTGGATAATGAGATGTAACGCCAGCGAAGATTTTCATTGTGATACCAGAGATAATTCTGATCTGAAGTGGTTAATATTAGTAAACATTTGATACTTAGCAGCTGGTGAGATTTACAAAGGGCGATTCACAAGTCCGCGATGAACTTTCCCTCGCCTCAGCCGGTTCGACAGTAACTAGCCAAGTTAGCTAACGATGTTCAGACTGTTCCCATCAAACTCGCTAGCTAATTTAGCTTTATTTGGGCGAGGCTGACGTAATGCGCTTGCAAAACTAATGTTACATAACTTGATAACCAGCAATGTACAGCTCTCTTGTTTATTAACTAGCTATTTATTTTGCTGAGCACTGTCGAAAGGAATTCAAACTATGCACATCAGCTAACACTAGCAGCGAGCACGGCGATTTGAAATTAGCAATGATATTACGCAATTTCTAAATCCATTTTCAGTGTGTGGAAGTGAGTGCTGCTTTTGGGATTGATTTATGCCACGGTTTGGTGGGTTTCACTGTGCCAAGATGGAAGGCTGTTGTTCAGTGGAATGAATGAAATATTTTATTTACACGGCCTTAGTTAGCTCAGCGTTAAACGAATTAAGCCCTATGTGAACATGAAAGATTCAAGACCCAGCGTTTTTTATGTGGGTTTTTTTTGAGAGGGTATATTTCATTCTGCTGGTGCTTGGTGTATTTCCAAGTTTTAAGAGGGATTTTTCTGTGTGCTATCTGTGAAGTTATGCCCCAGTATGTTTTAGTGGTTGAGGCTCATTCTTCAATGTGTGTATCATTCACATGTACACAGAAAACTTTAAATATCATGTCCTTATGCTCACATGCTCATGACAGTTGCTGGTTGCCACGTTTCTTAATGTAATGCAGCCTCCATGACTGACTGGAGAGAGAGCACAGCAAGTGCATGTTTTTATTTACATCATATATCTTTGCCATCTACTGTACTGACAAACTGATCAGTTTAATGATTAATCAGATGGAACATTGAGACAAACTGATCAGTTTAATGATTAACCAGATGGAACATTGTGGGTGTGGTGTATGAATGTTAACACTTTGTAATAATTCTTTAGTATATTACTTGTGTGGTGTAGAAGATAATTATTTAAGAATGTAATTAT